ACCCCAAATCCCTGTTTGTGACCCCAAAACACCCCCAAATCCCCTCCATGGCTCCCAAAACACCCCCAAATCCCTATTTCTGGCCTCAAAACACCCCCAAATTCCCCCTCTGGCCCCCAAAATGCTCCCAAATCCCCATTTCTGACCCCAAAACACCCCAGAATCCCCCTTTTGGCCCCAAAGACGCCGTTTTTTGGTCTACACCCACATCCAACTCTCCTTTCTACCCCCAAATTCTTTTTTTCACCCCAAAACACTTCCAAAATCCTTCACTTTGACATCAACTCCCTCTCCCCAAGTCCCTCTTTTTGACACATCCCTCCCAATCTCCCTCTTTGCCACCAAAACGCCCCCAAAACCTCCTTTTTTAACCCCAAACCTCCCCGGAATTCCCCTTTTCCGGATAATCTCCCACGTTTCCATTCCCAGGTCACCCTTGAGCCTCTCCGGTCCCTTGAGGTGAGTTTGGGGGGACAAAACGGGTCCAAATTGGGACAAAAACTGGAGAAAATGGGGTCAGAATTAGGTCGAAAATGGGTCAAAATTGAGACAGAATGAGGGTGAAAATGGAACAAAATTGGGGTGAAAGTGGGACAGAATGGAGACATGATGAGGAAAAAATTGAGATATAATAGGGGTGAAATTGGGGTAAAATGGAGATAAAAGTGGGACAAAGTTGGTGCAAAAATGGGGTGAAGTTGGGGTGAAACTGGGACAAAAATGGGAATATGGATAAAGAGGGACAAATCGGGTCAAGAATGAGGCAAAGCGGGGTCAAAAATAGGGGAAAAATGGGATGAAATGGGCGAAAATGAGACGAAACTGGGAGAAAACTGGGAGAAAAGGAGCTTGGAATTGGGGCCAAATTGGGCCAAATCCCTCTGTTTTTCCGCCCCCCCCCCGTTTTCCAGCCGCTCCCCCCGGCATGAGAAGAAGAAGAAAATCCGGAAATATTGGGACGTGCCCCCCCCCGGCTTCGAGCACATCACCCCCATGCAGTACAAGGCCATGCAAGGTGCTTCCCGCCCGGAATTCCGGCATTCCCGCATTCCCGGGATCCCCCTCCTTTCCCGCAGCCCCTTTTCCCAGGCCGCTTTTCCAGGGTGGGTTTTCCCACGTGCTTTTCCAGGGCGGTTGTTCCCAGGGTGGATTCTCGGAGCGCGTTCCCGGTGCAGTTTTCCAGTTTTTTTTTTTTCTGGGAACGCGTTTGCAGGGCGTTTTTTTCCCAGGATTTTTTTCCAGCCTATTTTTCCCATCATGGCTTTTCCAGGGTTGTTTTTCCCACATTTTTGCCATAGTGGGTTTTTTAGGACCGTTTCCCACTGTGTTTTTTTTTCCCAAAAAGAGTTTTCCAGGGATGTTTTCTGTTACATTTTCCCGATCCTGGTTTTTCCAGCATCACTTTTTTTAGTTCATCTTTCCCAATGTTGCTTTTCCGGAGCTGTTTTCCAGTTCGTTTTTCCTATCCTGGTTTTTCCAGGGTCATTTTTTCATTCGTTTTTCCTATTGTACCTTTTCCAAGATTGTTTTCGAGGGTATTTTTCCTATCCTGGCCTTTCCAGGACCGTTTTCCTACACATCTTTCCTACTGTGGTTTTCCAGGGCCGTTTCCAGGTTCATTTTCCCTATTCCGGTTTTCCCAGGGTCGTTTCCTGGTCCGTTTTTCCTATCGAGACTTTTCCAGGGCCGTTTTCCATCACGTTTTTCCTACCCTGGTTCTTCCAGGGCTGTTTTCCAGCTCATTTTTCCCACCAAGACTCTTCCAGGGCCGCCTTCCCATTCATTTTCCCCACCTGAGTTTTTCCCGCTCCCTTTTCCCACTCGTTTTTCCCATTGAGGCTCCTCCAAACCCCTTTCCCGATCCCTTTTCCCATTCATTTTCCCCCTCCTAGCTTTTCCCGCTCCCTTTTCCCGCTCATTTTTCCCATGGAGGCTCCTCCAGACCCCTTTCCCGCTCCCTTTTCCCATTCATTTTCCTCTTCCCAGCTTTTCCCGCTCCCTTTTCCCGCTCGTTTTTCCCATGGAGGCTCCTCCAGGCCCCTTTCCCGATCCCTTTTCCCATTCCTTTTCCCCTTCCCAGCTTTTCCCGATCCCTTTTCCTGCTCGTTTTTCCCATCGAGGCTCCTCCAGGCCCCTTTCCCGATCCCTTTTCCCATTCCTTTTCCCCCTCCCAGCTTTTCCCGCTCCATTTTCCCACTCATTTTTCCCATGGAGGCTCCTCCGGACCCCTTTCCCGATCCCTTTTCCCATTCATTTTCCCCCTCGCAGCTTTTCCCGCTCCCTTTTCCCACGGAGGCTCCTCCCGGCCCTTTTCCCGCTGC